AACACAGCAATGACCGTTGGTATCTTTGAAGCGCAATCGCATCTTAGGTCGGTATTTCTCAAGGTAAAGCAGCTGTTTGGAATTGAAAGCTCCCCTCCTTTTCCTAAAATAAACAGAATGAACACATCATATCAACAGCAGAAGCACTGCTTCAGTTATTGTGTACAGTTCAAAACAGATAGCCCCTCGCTGCACTGCAAGGGCTTTCCAGCCCCACAGAGCTGCCACCTGGCTCGCTTCGTTATTCAGTGCCTCCTCTAAGAAAGGAGAGCTCAAGTGGGACATGGATCAGGATTGGCAGAGCTGAATTAGTCAGATCTGTGGATGATAAAAACACTTTTTCCTCATCATACTGAGCAGACAGCTGCATGCCTTAGGGCTGGTAGATTTACAGTCTCTGGAGTCCACTTCCTCTCCCACAAGCAGAAGTGGTTGCTGAATGACAGAAGGACACTCCACCCACGCCTTTTAGAGCCATGTGCTGTCTACATGTTTAATATTAGCTAAGTGAAGACATGACAACCAAGTACAAATATCTGAAGAGAGTTAACAGAGAGGGTAATTGAGCAGGATAAAAAAAAAAGGGTAAGACTAGCACAAGCGAGAGGGAAAAAAATTAGGAGGACCAAGAAAGTCTTCTTGATGAGGACAACGGGTTAGGACAATCTCTGAAGACCTTGGAGCTCCAACAGCAGCGTGAAGCGTGTTCTTAGTACATGATTATACAGCATCTTCCTTTCTCATGGGCTCCATTTCAAGATCTGGTGCTATGACAAAAACACCAGAATTTTGTGCTTGCTCTCGTTCAACACCACCTTTTCTATGCTGGATGGCTGGCAACATTTCTCCAGTAGACAATGTTACTTCCATACACAACACTGTCAGGATTCCTAGAGCTCATGCTGCAGAGTGATCATGCAGCTTGGTCCAAGAACTCTAGAGCCGTGGTGTCCAACCAGTTCTAATAGCCATTCTAATGGCTGCTGCTATAGCAAACTAGCCACACTCAACCAGTCAACTAGCTACACTGTTCAAGCCAGCTAGCCACATTCAATCGTCAAATAGCCACATGTGGCTAGTGTGTTGGACACCACGGCTCTGGAATAGCATGCTGCTACAGTACCTGGCCAGGCTACATTTATTCTTGGTTCACTAGTAATTTGTCACTGTCCTCCTCAAGCAGTAATTTTACTAAATGATTCTGTAGGTTCTTGTGTTAGCATTTTACTTTCTCTGCAAAAACACTGGGTCACCAACCAGTGCCTCAATGCAAAAGCAGACTTAGAAGGGTTGGTGCTTTTCCCCCACATTCACCTCCTTAGCCAAGGAGGAGTAAGGGTTGACATTCACTAAGTTAAGCCGAGAACTGTCTGGACACAGACACTGGGAAGCTCTCAGCAGTTTAAAAAGTCTTGCTATAAAGTGCACGTTGCTCTTAAAACACCCAAGTAAAATTGCATAGACAGACAAAGAAGGAGGGAAGCGTGCTGGAGAGCTGGCCAGTGTTACTTACTGCCTTATGAACTGAACTGCATCCTCATACTTCATTCCGCATTCAATGAGAGCCAGTGCAACCAGGACTGGGGCCCTATGAGGAGAAATCAGTATTTATTTTAACTGTCTAGAAAAACAGTACACTGAACCCCTCAAAGAGACCATATTAGTCTGTAAACTAACAGCTTAAGTCTCCTGCCTTTAAATGTTACCTACAGAAAATTATTTGCCTGCAGCGTCTAATGTAAAATTCTCCAGCATCAAAATCAATAGTTCCTTCAGTGTCTGCCATGAAATAGTGATAACGGATTTTTAGTCTCTCTTTTTTACTATAACATTTTGTACTCTGCTGCCCATAAATAAACTTGAGGTTCATCTTGAAGCACTTAACTTTTTGCTACAACGCAGCTTTAATCCCATGAACACTAAAGATATGTACCGCTTTTGAAATTACATCAACACTAGTTCCTTTTGCTAGGTGATAGGGGGAAACTTATGGCGCAATGGTGGAAGATTTTCACTGGCAGGTCACTGCTCTGAAGCCAGCCCAGCTGAGCATGGAGCATGTGAGGGTGGCTGTTCACAACTGTTGTGCGAAGGGAGGGGATGCTTTGAGTCCCCTTCCTAATGCTCAGCTGCTCATAATAGCAATAGCACACAATTACACCTAGCACCTTGGTGGCAGAGGAGAGCTCAGATTGAACTGACATAGTAAACTGAACAAAACTGAGCAACTCTGGCAGGGCAGCTTGCATTGTCCCTGCTGGGCAGCACCTAGATAAACTTGGCTTCAGTTTAACTTATCCAGGCTGGCTGGCTGAAACCCCACACGCACTAACTGCGCTTTAAAAATGTAAGTAAGTAGAACGGACAACATTTGAGGTTTGCTTCCTAGGGCCTAAGCAAAACTTATGAGAAGTTCTTCCTTTGCTTTCTACAGAAAAAGGAACCCAAGAGGACAACCTGAAAAGTCATTCAGAATGACTAAAATCTAACAACTCGTGTATGTAATAACAGTGGCTGTCACACTGTCAGCACACTTTAATCTAATGCTGGACAAGAAACAAGAGGGCTTTAAATCATTTCATTGAGCCAAATGTGCGCTCAGCTTTCACCTGCTCCCTTGCCTCAAAAAAATCCTCAGCTAGAAACAAGACAAAAGGGAGTAGCAAATCATGTTAACTGCCATGTGTTTGCATTATTCAGGCTTTTCCTACTTCAACATTTCACCTCTCCCTTAGCAGAGGAAATGGATTTAAAGATCAAATTAAGACAGGTCAACCCAACTTACGTGACTATTCTTGATTTCTCTTTATGCCACCTTTCTGCATTTCCATTATATCTATTTAAGGATTTATATGGCTCCCACCCCCATCACAAACACATCTCAAGTATTTATCTCTTCGTTACCCGCATGCAAGACAAGCAGTCATTTGTTTATAGAACTTGTGTTTGCATGTGAGAGACTGGCTGCTCTATTTAGTTTTCCCAATTATTTGAATAAATTGATTTTTTTCTTTTTGGTTGCAAATATGGTTCCTGGAGAAGAAGGAAATCAAAGAAATCAGCACATATGCAGAAGGTATTTCTCTTTACCCCACTATAATCCAGTCACCAACTTTTAAAAAGCACATAGTCCTACTGTACAACAATTTAGAGGAGGGAGTGAATAGCAAATCTCACTGAAAAGAAAGGAGTAAGTTTAGGAGACTATGTATACATTACTAAAATTGAATTATGGCCAGAAGACACCTGGTTTAATACTCCACCAGTAAGTATCGGGGGACCTCAGGCCATAATGGACGTTGGTTTTGGGTCTTTATAAAAAATGGCAACTCCTATAGAAATGTGCCCCCAGCATCATGCTGGGATGGTAGCCAGTACTACCGCAGGTGTGACACCTATCGAAATGGTTATATTCTGCCACATCTCAGAGTTCCCTTATGCAAATACTGAACTAGCCTGACTCCGCTTACCTTATCAAATCTGACTAAATGATTCAGAAGACTAATTTTAAATGACAGTCCAATCTGTCCATAGCCACCTTCCACAAGTTTATCTTATATATTAAACTGGAGCTTTTATATTTTTGAAGTGGTGATTAATAAATTTATCAGTTGTCCTAGTAATAAGAGGCTATAAAAAAATCCATAAATCAGGAACAATCTTGGGGCAGTCCCTTCCCAGGCCGGGAGGGAACATGATGTATGTGTGTTTGGGGAGTAACAGGACATAGAAAAACAAACAGGGAACTGGCATACATGACAATTTGCTTAGTTTCCAGTAACAAAGCAACACTACAACCTCAAACAATCCCTGTCCTATGCCACCCTTAGGATGAATATAATAGCTGTATATCGGGGTAGGCATGGCAGATAAAAATTAAAGGATTCTAGAGAGCCACAGAACCAATATCCTGATTTACCAATTTGAGGAAAGGCAGTTTAGGGCTGATGGAGCAAATTACAATTCACTGGGTCCCCTAACTAGCAAAAAAATCTGCTTAACCTGCCCTGTATCAATGTTTCCAGCATTCACACTGCTGTAGGAAACACCCTAAGCACTTTCATGTGAATCTTTCTTTTCAGGTGTTCATAAGTGAAAAAGTGCTCTGGTGTGCCTCTGCATGTCTCCACCTCAAAACTGCAAACATTCAAAAACTAGTTTGGGACTTTCATACACCAATAGATAAAAAATAGCCTTTTTACAATTTCGAGTGAAATGTTGCATGCCAATATTCTGTAACATTATCCAATGGCTTTGAATGGTTGGGAAGCAACAAAAAAGGATCTCAAACTCCCACTGAAGTCAATGGAATGGAAGGCATTCAGAACCTTGCAGATTAGGCCCGGAGCAAACAATGCATTTGGCTTATACTGCCTACATATATTCAATTTGTCAAAAAGCACAGCAGATTTCTAACAGAGATGCAATGCATTTTTCATGGAGTAGATTCTCCAATTCTCCTGGCACTATTATGCTATGTCAAATCAACTACTGTGAACAAACAATCCAAAATTAAACCAAAGCTTTGAGATACAGCTGCCATGTCACCTACCATTTTAAAATCATAGTAAGCATCCTTGATTGCGATACAAAGTATTTGAGGTTACTTACACAAAGGGATTTCTTTTGGTTAACTGAATAAGTGCCACTGTCTTCCAGGATGAAATCTTCCGCTTATGTACGTGCTAAAGTGAACGTCTTACAAAGCAGACCAGAAAAGCACTTACCTTCCCAGTCCTGCAACACAATGCACCGCAATGCAGCATCCAGGCTCTTCACGAAATTTGGTTTTCAACAGGTTTAGCCAGTCATCAACTATCTGATTTGGGGGTGGCGCTCCATCATCAAATGGCCAGTCCTTGGGAGGAAGAAAAAATTAGCTATCATTTTTGTGCAGGGATTACACAATAATAGAGAATGCCATCCACAATCAATAGTAGGGCTAGTGGAAGAGGGGCTGAGGGCAGCACAGGGTTATATTCAATCAACATCCAAATTCTACAATGTTGCTATTAAACATGTAATTTCCTAGTTGTAAAGTATTCCAAATACGGATTCAATTACACCACAATACTCAACCAAATTTAAAAGTGCTTAAACATTTTAAATTAAAAGCTAACTCACTAAATAGAGCTAATTTGGTCTAGTGGAACTTGCTGACCGATACCCAGTTTCAGTAGAGAAAAAACTAAATAGCTGTCTTTGAAATATCACTGAAATTCTGTAATTAAATCAGAAAAAAAATTAATTAAATAGAATACTTAAAAGAGGATACAGAGAACTATACAAATTTTTGCCTAAAAGTCTATGTTCAAGAACTCCTCCTAAACAATAAGAGCTAGGACCACCGAATCTGATATGTAGCTTCTTCTTATCGTAACCTAAGACAGGATGGTACATCAGAGTAGGCACTGTCATCTGCTTATCAGTTCCAGGAACAGTCATCTAAAACTGCTATAATAAGACTGTCAGTTTTTTATTGCAAACTTCTGTATGAAATATATGACCACCGCACCTTTTTACAAAAAACTTCAACTGAAGAGTAGCCTTCAAATATCTCCGGTCATCTGAAGAAGTGGACTGTGCCCACAAAAGCTCATGATACCATCTACATGTTTTGTTAGTCTATAACAGGGGTGTCCAAACTTTTTTCAAAGAGGGCCAGATTTGATGAAGTGAACATGCGTGAGGGCCGACCATTTTGCCTGACATTCTTTGAACCATTAAAATTAAATGCAAATTAACTATTTTATGCAAAATTTATTGCAAACTGCATACTTTTCATTTCGTCACATGGATGACAAATCTAAACAGGTGTTAAATCACTCTGCCTTTCCTATCTGAAGGCCAGATGAAAAAAAATCCAGGAAGCTGAAATATATATCAGGAACATTGTAAAGTACATTACATATTATTGGTAATAAAGGTTGTCTGTCAACTTTTAAGTTCAAAAAATATGAACAGGAACATAACACCAAGTATACATGTTGTGTCCAAATATATTTATAACTGATTTAGACCATCTGACATTAACTGAGATTTTACAATGTATTCATCTCAATACATATGGATTCGTTGGGGGCCATAAAAGATAGATATTGCCAAATTACCTGTGGGGCCGTATTAAACCGGAACACGGGCCGCAATTGGCCCCCGGGCCGGATTTTGGACATGCCTGGTCTATAACATGGGTTCCCAAACTGGGGGCGTGCCCCCCTGGGGGGGCATGAAGAAATTCCAGGGGGGGGCGCGAGGCGACCCAGCCATACACACACCCCTCTGTCAATCCCACCCCAAGTTTTGCTGGTATTTTTTTTAGGAGGAAGGGGCATGAGGGTTTCTCAAAAATCAAAAAGGGGGGCGTGAATCCGAAAAGTTTGGGAACCACTGGTCTATAAAGTGCTACCAGACCATTTGTTGTTTTTTTTCTGTAACAGACTAACTCGGCTACCCCCTGAAGCTCTCAAATATCTGTAGTTTAGAAGTTTCAATGGTACAAATATGCCAGGGTCAGAGTTACTGAAACAGAAAGCTTCAGTTCTCCTAAATAATTTTGCAGGTGTTTAGTCCAGAGTATGGCTATAGGGCTGACCATACTAGGTATTTAGCACTCTCAGCTCCTTTTAAAATTAACTTTCGTAGGGGTTTATAATACCCATTCAATATTTAATCCAAAAGCAAACAAATTAGTTTCCATAGTCATTTAGGGCCAATGCTGTTCTCACAGTAGTCAGTCAATGACAAACTTGACTGACTTCCATGGAAATTGATCTATTATTTGATTCAACCCGGTCAACTTAAAGGTTTCAAAGAACAGAATTCAGCCTTAACTCTTAACATCCTTGCTTTGGGTTTCCCTCATGCTACTTCCATATAAATATTTTAAACCATGTTAACCTACAGTTTAAAGAACTGACACAAGAATGATCATACTGGGTCAGACCAGTACTCCATCCAGCCCAATATCCTGTCTTCCAACAGTGGTCAATGCCAGGTGCCCCACAGGGAATGAACAGAACAGGGAATCATCAAGTGATCCCTCTCTTGTCATCCATTCCCAGCTTCTGACAAAGAGAGGGTAAGTACACTTCAAGGCATGGTTTTGTATCCCTTCCCATCCTAGCTAATAGCCATCGATGGACCTATCCTCCATGAATTTATCTAGCTCTTTTTTGAATCCTGTTAAAGTCTTGCACTTCACAATAGCCTGTGGCAAGGAGTTCCACAGGTTGACTGTGCATTGTATGAAGTAATATTTCCTCTTGTTTGTTTTAATCCTGCTGCCTATTCATTTCATTGGGTGATCCCTAGTTCTAGTGTTATGAGCAGTAAACACTTTCTTGTTTGCTTTGTCTACACCAGCCTCTCTCATCTGCCCTTAATAATCTCTTTTCCAAGCTGAAAAGCCCCAGTTTTATTAATTAATCTCTCCTTATATAAAAGTTGTTGCATACCCCTTATTATTTCTGTTGCCCTTTCCTGCATCTTTTTCAATTCTAATACATCTTTGAGATGGGGCAACTAGACCTGCATACAGTATTCAAGATGTGCGCACACAGGTAGGACCTCCCTGGTCCATCACCCTTGGGACCTGACCGGTCCTGAACAGGGAGTTTGCTGGATCAGAATTCCAGCCTCACTTCTGCCAATCTCTGGGCTCTCCCCAGTGACCAACAGCCTGGCTTTGCTCCTGGCCACCCTCATAGCCGCCAGCCTCCCAACTAGTCCCTGCTCCCAGTGCTGGGGCTCTCTGGTCCAGCAATATTCCTGGTTCTTCTGGACCACAAGTGTTCCAGAACCAGAGGTTCAACCTATGCCATGGATCTGTATGGAGGCAATAAGATATGTTCTGTCTTGTCTATCCCTTTTCTAATAATTCTCAACATACTTAGCTTTTTTGACTACCACTGCACACTGCGTGGATGTTTTGTCATCCGTAATGACTCCAAGATCTGTTTCTTGATTGGTAACAGCTAAGTTGAACACCATCATTTCATATGTATAGTTGGGATTATATTTTCCAATATGCATTATTTTGTATTTATCAACACTGAACTTCATCTGCCATTTTCTTGCCCAGTCACCTAGTTTTGAGATAACCCTTTGTAACATTCCTAGTTGAGTACCAACCAGACTGCAGGGAGCTACATTGTGGTTATCTGACTAATCATGTAGTTGATACAATTTGTATTGACTCTACACAATTAGTCGATAAGGACCATTCTGCAGAGTCGCAGGAGGAGCTGGCTCGAGCCGGGACTGAGCAGTCCTGGCTTGTGCCAGCTCTGGGAGCTACCTGCACTGCAGCTCTGCATTTTAAACGTATCAAGAGCCGCCGGGCTCTTACCACATTTAAAATGTAGAGGTGCAGCATCCCGGATGAGCACAAGCCAGGACTTCTCGGTCCTGGCTCACACTGAGACCAGCAGCCCCTGTCCGCCGTGAACAGAGGCTGCTTCAGCATCAGCCTGGGCCACAATGAACAGGGGTTGCTGGCAGAGGCTGCTTTGCAGCAGCTTCCCCTATCCCTCCCTGTTGCCTCTGATTGAGGCAGTGGGGGAAGCAGGCAGCACCACAGCCAGTGCTGGGGGAAACCAGCTTTTAAGCTGGCTTCCCCCAGCACCAGCTCCTCTCTCAGAGGCTTATGCTTATCAGGTAGTTGACTATTCGCTAACATCCCTAGACTTAACTATCTTGAGTAGTTTTGTATCATCTGCAAATTCTGCCACCTCACTGCTGACCCTTTTTTCCAGACCACTTATGAATATGTTGACCAGCACTGGTTCCAGTACAGACCTTTGGTCGACACCACTATTTACCACTCCATTCTGAAACCTGACATTCATTCCTGCCCTTTGTTTCCTATCTTTTAACCAGCTATCGATGCATGGGAGAATCTGCTCTCTTATCCTCATGAAAGTTTACTTTGCTTAAGAGCCTTTGGCGAGGGGCCTTGTCAAAGGCTTTCTGAAAATCTAACTATACTATATCCACTGGATAATCCTCATCCACATGCTTATTGACTCCCTAGAAGAATTCTAATAGATTGGTGAGGCATGATTTCCCTTTACAAAAAGCATGTGACATTTCCCCAAAAATTGTGTTCTTCTATGTGTGTGAGAATTCTGCTCTTTACTATAGATTCAACAAATTTGCCTGGTACTGAAGTTCGGGTTGCCGATCTGCAATTGCCAGGATCACCTTTGAAGCTTTTTTTAAAAATTGGCATCATATTAGCTATCGTCCAGTCATTTGTTACATTAATCCCAAAGATACTATTATCTATTCCAGCCACCAACACTAAAAGAAACAGGCTGAGTCTAATTCTCCAATTCCCTGCTCTCTCACTATGCCATCTGTCAAAGCAGGCTTACTAGCTGCCACATTCCACCATCTCTGTCTTCCGTACTAGTGCAGTGGTCTCCAACCTTTTTACACCCAAGATAACTTTTTAAATATCAGAACAAGTAAAGATCTACCACCCCATCCTTCCCCCAAGACACCACCCCTTCCTTGAAGCCCTGCCCTCTCTATTCTCCTCCTCTCCATCACTTGCTATCCCCAGCCCTTATACACTCCACACTGCCACTTTTTTCCCCAATTCTTATGTAGGAAGAGGTTTTTCCAACATTTGTCCTGTCTAGACTGGACCAAATGTTAGAAAAACCCCTTCTTTCGGAATCCCCCTTATTCCTCATGGAACGAGGAATATAGAGGTTACCGAAAGAGCATGTTTACTCTTCCACTAAAAAAAAGCAGAAGAACAAACGCATCCCTGGAAACGGAAGAGTTTTTCCAGGATATCTCTGGAATCCTGGAAAACTCTTGCAGTCTAGCCGTACCCTCACTGGGTTGAGGGTATGGCTCTGGGTGGGGATGTGGGTGTGGGAAGGGGTGAGAGGTGCAAGCTCTGGGAGGAAATTTGGATGCAGGAGGAGGTGGAGAAGGGGATGCTGGCTCGGGGAGGGGGCTCCAGGCTGGGGAGTGTTGGGGTCAGGTGGAGGGTTGTGGTAGGCTTGTGGCTGTGAGGGTTCAGGAATTTGGGTTGGGGTATGTGAGGGGCTCAGGGCAGGGGGTTCCAGTGTATGATAGGCTCAGATCTAAGGTTTGGGGGTGTGTGCAGTGTGTTATGATGCTGGAGCCAGATGGGGGTTGGCCCCAATTGGGGGTTTGCTGGCCAAGCTTCATTTTTAAATAAAATATTATGTCAAACACAAAAGGTTTCTGCATTGTCTTTATTTATGAGAAGGGCAGGGAACTTGTTTTGAGTCGGGGTCACTGACCCACAGAAAAGTCAGTTGGGGCCACACAAGGGAGATGCAAAAGAAAACAAAACCACCACACACACACATTCCTCCCCAAAAAAACCCAAGCCTCACTAATGTGGCCCCAACTGTGCTGGTGGGAGCAGGGGACATGGTACTGAAGAAGGGTGCTAGTGGGTGCTGGGACAGGGGACAGAGTGCTGGGGAGGGGACAGGGTTCTGCAGCAGGGGACAGGGTGCCAGTGGGGAAGAGGAGGGAGGGGACAGGGTACCGGGGGGAGGGTTCTGCAGCAGGGGACAGGGAGTCCCCTGCACCAGACTCCTCTCAGGACTCCCCCACAGAGGAGGAAAGCCCCCACGCGCGCCTCCTCCGGGGCCAATTCCCCTTCCCACAAAGGAGGGAAGCCCTGGTGCGTGCCTCCTCTGGGGACCCCCTCCCCCCTGCAAGATCTGGCACACCACAGACCTGAGGGAGGAGAGCAACCAGCGCACTTCTGGAACCCCCGGAAGTGGCGCGCAGCTGCAGGACTTCCATCCACCCCGCAGGAAGCCAGCACTACCTCCATTTTCACTGGAGGTAGGTAGTGGGGCTTCTCAGGGATAGGGGGAATAGGCAGGCCCCCGAACGCCTCACGATCAACAGGTTGAGCCCTCACGATCGGCCAGTCGATCACGATCAACCGGTTGGTGACCACGGTACTAGTGTATCACCTCAGATCGTGGGGAGAACTCAAACTTTGTTTCAGGAGTTTCATAGGCTTTTGACCTCCACAGTTTTCAATAACAGATGCTAATCTCTATCAGGCTGTGGTTTTAACCTTCATTATTTTTGTAAACAAATGCTGGCTTTAAATAGTGGTTTACGTCATTTTATCAACCAACTGGTAATATAACACCAGTTCTGAATGGTGCCAACAGTATGTTTTGAGAGAGTTGGTTTCAAGAGAGGCAAGTAGCTGTGGGTCATGTGATTGAATATTCAGGGTCATAATTGCCCAAACACTGTGATGTGTTAATAAAAACAGAAACGATCATGGCTGGAATCATGTGAATCAAGTGTGAGACTAGCAGAAAATCTTCTGCAATCTCCTGTTTTCTGATAATATTATCTGATGTTTAGAGGACTTCTTCCCTCTACAGTTTTGTTCTCCTGCAACAACAGTATACTAGGATCAGTCACAAACTAACTGCAGAGTACTCAGGACAAGTGTGGCAAACATACAGGACCCCGTGTATGTAACTCAGAATTTGTAAGGCATTCAAATAGTATGGTGCTGAGTAGGGATGTAAGCAATTAGTCAACTATCCGATAAGCAAATGCTTATCGGGCAGTCGACTAGAGACTCGACTAGTTGCTTCCCCTCCTCCCCGCACTTGCTGCCTCTATCAGAGGCAGGCATTGAGGGGTGGGGAGCAGGATCTGGTGCTGGGGGGAGCCAGCTTAAGACAGTTCCCCCCCCCCCCAACACTGTCTCGGTGGGGAAAAGGGGCAGGGGCACAGCTGGGAACTGGCAGCGCTTCTGCCCCTTTGAAATGCAGCAAGAGCTCTCTACATTTCAGAAGAGAGCATATGGGGCCAGGGGGGACTGTCCACTTTGCTTTTGAAACATACAAGAGCCAGCAGGGCTCTTGCTACATTTCAAAGGTGGAGGCGCCCTTATTGACTACAAATAGTCGATGCAAATTACATCGACTATTCAATTAGTTGATTAATCTAAATTTAGCATCCTTGGTGCTGAGGACAGTGTTCTGAAATGGATATTCGGTCCTCATTGCGCAAGTAACTGGCCCTTCTGCACCATAAATGACATTGGCGGTTTTCCAGTCAGCACGGCATATGCACCACAACTATAAACAAATCATTTTGCTCAAGCCTCCAGCATGCTTCTCTATAGAGTTTTATGACAGGGATACAGATTCATTTCAACACAAATGTGGAGGTAGAAGGAAAAACTGCACCTCTGTTAGAAGCAAGATTTCCCGTGAGCCTGTGATGTTCTTGGGCAGTTTGCTTTCCCAGCAGAACAAACTGACTACTATCATTCATTCCTTTGCATTGATGATGCTCTGGAAATACCAAGGCTAACAGTAGTGCTGGAGCAGGGAAGATCATCCAGCAGAGAAACTTCAATGCTGCAGTGAGGCGGGAGGCTCCCCACAAACCTTGTGCTGAATTCAAAGTGTGGCAGTACCCATTTCCGAATAACTTTTCTGAGCCTTTTATTTTGAAGTCACATATAATTTGAAGAGCAGGATCAAGCAGAATAGAAAGTATCCCACATACGTACGTTCTGCAGAGATGTATCCCACATATGTGAGTCCTGCAGAGATTTCCTCCAAAATTTCCCAAGGCTTCTAGCCATAAAAATGAGAGGCATTAGAAGACTGACTACCTACAACTCTTAAGCAAGGTGCAGCTTCTGGAATCACAGTGGAGAGACTGCTGAGTCACTTCAGGGGTTTTTTATTTTATTGAAAAGCCATGAATGACATACTATAGCTATTAAGATGGTCTGCCTCAAAAGTTAACGTGTGCTTTCATCTGTATCTAGTCACACCACTAATGAAAACTCAACCTAGAAAACCAAGCAACACCAGATTTCACTGTGCAAATCTACCTTAAATCGCAGTTACAGAATTTCTCCTGCACAAAGGAAGAAGCCAATAGCTACGCTGCACTTATAGCTGAACCCACTGAATTCTATGGCCAGGTCAATCTCTCACATTACCAGTATTTTATGCTAGTTCTGGTCTATATCACACGCAATATAGCCATGTGTCAAACATAAGAACAGCCGTACTGGGTCAGACCAAAGGTCCATCTAGCCCACTATCCTGTCTGCTGACAGTGGCCAATACCAGATGCCCCAGAGGGAGGGATCATAACAGGTAATCCTCATGTGATCCCTAGCCTGTCACCCACTTCCAGCGAAAAAGCACCATGTAAAATGATGGCTGTTTTCAGCTTGTGTGTTAAAAATGTCACAAGTGACAAAATTAAGTGAATGCCAGAAGATCAACAACAATATTTTTCAAATCAAGTGAGTACCTGTGAAATGTATCAGATCATCACTAGCAAAGTAATTTTAAGTTTTATGCAGAACAAGTATCTTATCAGTGTGTCTTACCAAGGTTGTAAAGGTACCACCGGAGGTTAAAGGAAGCAGGTATGCCCCGGTGCACAGCTCTGGCAAGAGCTGGCTGAGCTGCGGCAAAAGCCAGCAGGGAGATATTTAAAGAGCTGGCAGAGACACAGGTTACAATAGGACAGGACCTGTAAGAAATGTCAAGTTACCTTCACCGCTGGGTACCACCTATAGCAGTGAGAAGTCACGCTTCATTCTGTAGGAACCAGTAACAAAGCCAGTTATGAAATGGTCACTGGTTCTAGGTACAAGGTTGAAACCACCAAATCAAATCACTGAGGCTGAACAGATGCAATCCTGCTTCTACCAGAGGTTCAGTTTGTTTCCTTCTATCTCCACATTTCTGTTGAAAAGTGCATGCATCAAAAGTCATTAACTTTATCAATAATCTGGTTTGAACATGGATCAAGAGATGAACAGCAAAATATCTCCTGAGACACCCAGACCTCTATGAATAGGAGTTTCTATTCTAACAAGGATACCTGGTTGTAGTAATAATAAAAAATATCTGACATATTTCACAAAGTTACAAACAGTATACTGAACAACCATATTTAAGTGAGCCCTCAGTTGTTATAGTAGTCACACATTCCGAGTCATTATCAGGCAAAAGCATCAATGCCAAACAGTGCTGGAACATCTGATTCATATTTAATGATTTTTTAGTTCAGAAAGAATTTTAAAGGAGACTCACTAGAACTTGGATTCCTTCTTTTTCAACAGGAGCTTTATCATACGTGGCATCACAAACTCGCACCAAAGTTGTCACTCCATACTTCTTAAGCTCCTTTGAGAACAAGAAGGAAAGCAAACACATGAAGCATACTGCCAGAATGAGGAATTAGAGCATTTTCTCAGCTTTAACAAAGCCCCATAAACATGCTATGCTGACTCAATTGGAGTGTACATAGCTCTGCAGTTCCATGGAGACGACTGAATAATGGAGGAGCAAGGATAGCTCCAAGAGTCTCATGGTTCTAAGCTGGATGTGGTCTTCCCAGGCATTAGGATGCGGACTAAAAGGCTGAGGAAGGGGGAAGATAGGAAAGTTTACAAATTAAAAGCCAAACAAATTGTACAGGATAAAATAAAGCACAAGCAATCCACAGCTCCAGGGTGAGTTACAGCAACAATGAGCACTGCATATGGTTTACAAACTGTCGACATAACCCGCCTTGTCTCGGATACAAATGAGGAAGTCATTAAACTTTAGTCTATACACAACCCCAGGGACAACACCCACAGAGCAGAATAGAGTCTCGGTCTCTAAGTGTAGACTATATAGCAATGGGTGGAGTTCGCCCCACTGCAGGGGGATCAGTCCACTACTTTGTCCATCTAACCTAGAGCAGGAGGCCAGAGTGGGAAAAGTGCTCTATAGGTATGCACATTTAACAGCAAAAAGAAAATAGCTACTTATACCCCTATGCAGATTCTTTTCTCTTTATTAATACAAGCACGAAGCTGTCTGCCTCAAGCAGTGCTGACACATTTTGAGACCGGATGAATAGAACATGCACAGAACCATATTCTAGTTATTAAGTAGCATATCGTGCTAGTTAAATAATCAGAAAAATCAAACTAAAGCTGACCCAGTTCATTTTGAGAGTTCAAAGAGCAAGCAGCATTTCCTCCTATGCCTGTCTCAGGAACGGCTCTTCAAAATTTTATATTTAAATGTTATACCACATGCACAATCCGTCCCAGATTCTAGGCCCCCAGACAAGGTATTAGAAAAATAATCCATAACAATAAAATGGAAACATCCCATCAATGGGAGGATCGGGGTTTCTGTCCAAATTAGCCATTAGTATCCCGAACTGACTGTTGACCTAGAGAGCGTCTTCCTGAAAGGTGGAATCATGTTGATATGAAAGCTCAGTGTCAAATTACAAGATCTTAACAGAATGGAAGAGATCTATTACATCAAATCTTACTCCTGGCAAGGGCATCATATCATTTCCCAAAAGGGCTTATAAAATATGCCAGAGTTCGCAACAAGATGTGATGTAGTGGTATGCTCTCAGTACTTCTCTGGTGATGCCATCTATTTACGCAAAATTTAAGCTTCAGTTTTAAAAAGTGTTTAAGACCTTATGGTTTTAATTACAGATTGCACCTCCCTAGTCCGGCTCTCTTGCAACCTGACCAGGCCCAAACCCAGGAATTTGTCAGACGAGCGGAGGTCAATGCCAGACCTTCTGCTCCCACGCTCCTCTTTGGCAGCAGCAGATGGGTAAGCATTGCAGCCTGGTTGCACTCCTGGCCTGTCACCAGCTGCGGGACTGCACTTCTTAGTCTCCGGCTGCAGAGCTCTGCAGCCACCCTGCCTCTTCTCCCAAGCATCCCTTGTCCCCACTTCTCCCCCTTCCCGAGCTTACAGACAAGGCATGGATTCTTCACACTGTCTGATCCATGAAACTGGGTCAACCTAACTTTTTATTGCAGACTGAGCCTAAAGAGAGTCATGTTTATGGGCTCCAAAAGGAGTCTAATCCAGTTTCTCTCAGTCAAAAGATGCAGGACTTTGAAGAAAGGAAATCAAAGGCTTCCTTCTTATAGAATCAAGAGAACTTTAAGCAGTTTATAAACAAAGTACTGAACAGTTTAAAAAATACTTTAAGTATAAAGGGTATTTTTGAAAGCATCACCCATGGTGGATCAGGGAGATGTCTTTAGTGCTGCTCTAAAAATTTCAAAACACAAAGAATGGAAAAACCATACTAGTGTACGTGGCTATCTTACCTCTGTGAATTTGTTGAGAGTTGCATTGGTTGGGTTGTGCGTGATCAGGAAACGCATACTCTCATAAGTAATCTCCACTGGGGCTGGACGGTTCATAATGGCAAACAAAAATAGATAGGGGGCAAAAAAAAAAAAAAAAAAAATCAATAACCCTTGAAACGTTCCACAGCAGAAAACATTAAAAAGACAACTAAAATGCCTGGGATTGATCAGAACTATCTTTATTGACTTGTTCTTTATGATTTTTCACTTCAAGAAAACCAGGTTTACTTTAGAATCCACTTGAATTCAATTTAGGCCTCAAAAACTGCAGGTGGTATCCTTCAGACTCCAAAAATTCTGACTACACGCAAGACTAGGCAGCCTGTACTACATTTAGGCACTGGTGAGGCGAAAAAAATAAGGGCAGATCTTCTCTCCACTTTGTTTTCTTGACACTTAGTTTTGCTTGAGTCAGTAAAAGGAATATGCTTCCAATATGCAGAAGATATCCCATATATTTGAAGGTGACCGCTGTGTTTGGAGTCTTCAAGGCAAAGTAATTATGGTACGTAGGACACGCTCACTTGTCAGCCAGGGTGCTGTGCTGGGCCTGGCAGAAATCTGCCCTGATGCTCAGAATCGCCATAAATGTGTGACGTATATTCCAACAGAAAACCTAAGAAGAAGAAAAATGCCATATTTAAAAGAGATTGTTTCTTTTGATCGTACAGCGCTATTGAATACAGTGCACCCAGAAACCTCAACGTAATTAATCATTAAGCTTTAAGAGAAACAAGACTGATTTAGAAAGTGTTTTGATGTACACAATCATATTTTACTGTCCTACAAAGAAGCATCCTTTCGGTTTATCTTTTAGCATGCTGGATGACAAATATTCTACAAAATCTCACTTAATCAAAAAGCTAAGTAAAACTGAACACCAGAACTAAAGGGGAAATATCCATCATTTTCCGCTCAGGTAGCTCATAATTAAACATTTACAATAGAAAACAGCAGACATTCTCCACAGCCACACAATCTATATGGGACGCAGGGGAGCAGACAGCAGTGCGTGGCCCCAGGCAAGCTACTGTGGGGGTGGGGGAAAGGGCGATTTAAAAGGCCTGAGGCTCAGTAGCTGCAATGTGCTCAGGCCCTTTAGAATCGCCAGGCCCCAGCACAACTGCCGCCTCCGCCTCATCCCCATCAGCAGGCCTGGTGGAACTCGGTATGTTCTTGGAGGACAGTTCCATCAATGGCTATGAACCAAGACGGTCCAGGATGTAATCCCATGCTCTGGGTGTCCCTAAACCTCTGATCCATGAAGCTGGGATTGGATGACAGGGAATAATTACCTTGTTCTGTTCACTCTCACTGAAGCATCTTGCACTGGCCAATAGGCTAAATGGACAGGATACTAGGCTAACTGGACCATTGGTCTGACCTACTATGGTCATTCTTATGTTTCTTAATCTGTAAATAAGATGACCTTTCATCAACTATTTATGGAAGTTCAGTTTCAACACAAAACGATTAGATGACAGTTTCACTAATCAGATCATCGCTTCCCTCAAGTAAATATGACTAGCAGGAAGCAGAGAAACAACAACGCTGCTGACACTTTGCAAAACAATATTCAGAACAGACAACATAATGGAATACAGCTATTTTGGATCAATGCTGATCTTACCCAAGTTAGGGCATTCATCAGGTAAGACTGTCTACACATAAATTGCTACAGCAGCACAGCTGCAGACCCGCAACTGCACAGTATTAGTGCTTTAGTGTAGACACACTCTACACTGACAGGAGGGGATCCCTCATCACTTTGTTAATCCATCTCACTAAGAGATGGTATCCGGGTCAATGGAAGATTTCTTTGCCTGACTTTGTGCTGTCCACACTGGGGGTTAGCCAGCTTAACTACATCTCTTAGAGGCGTGGATTTGTCAGTGTAAGTTTTCAGTCTGGACCAACCCTAAAACAAAGGAGTATGGAATTATTATAGCCACGCTGGTAGTGCCACCACTGTTTACTCAATACTTCTAAGACCTTGCTTTCAGTTGCTCATCACTTTACCAAACATCAATCATTTGGGATGAAATTTTCCATGCTGGCTGCTTGCCTCAGCATGGGGGTGGTAAAATATGTTTTGTTCGTGTTAGAAAAACTGTACAGCCAGTTTGCTATGACGCTCGTCTACATGATATTTTGGAGAAGGGTCATGACATTTGGCAAGGAGGTTGCCTTCCTGTAACAAAAATGCTTTTTGCTGTCCCCTTTAAAATGTACCAAAATTAGGCCAAGTTATACAACTATGAAAATTCTCAGTTCATAGACTCTGAAGTTTCTGCTGAGAGTGCGGTAGCTAAATTCTCTGAAGACTGTTTACAATGAGCATGCTCCAGTCCGGGGCTGCAAGGGCTAAGCCTGTGGTGTCCAACATGCTAGTCACTAGGCACTTAACTAAACCAGCAAATGTTTCTAGTATGGATCTGACCTGAAATGCAGAGGGGTGAAGGGAGCCAGGCCTGCCTGGGATGGGGCATAATCCAGTAGGAACTATTCTGAAACCACAAACCCACTTCAAAGGCAACCAAACATTTAAAATTAAGAACTTTTAGTCTCTGCCAACTGCATCCAAGTTTTCAATAATGCAGTGTCTACCATGCACTCATGCCACTTAAGTCACATGAAGGATGTTTTATACTAGACAAACAAGATGTAACAAATTTAATTTAATGCTCCCATAAAGTTTATAGACACAGAGCCACCTAACTGCTGGAAGCAAACTAAATGGGCACACTTAAGGGTGAAATGCTAAGCAAAAGCAGGAAGTTTGTCTTTTCCTAGGGAAGTGAAAGGTTAACTGGTAACCATTAACTGGTGGAGGCTGGAGCAGCTCCCCACCTTCCACTGGCAGAGGGCTGCTTTGACCCACAGGTGGCCCACAAGCAGTGGCTGCTACCATGTCTGAAGCCTGGTCACCATGTATGAAGCCTGGTCACCCCGCAGGCGAGGGCTGCTTCTGGGCAATTAACCAATTAAACGGGATTTTGCATCCCTACCTTTTATTGCTCCTTTCAGCACAACTACAGGATATTTTTTCCCTGCTTGTTTTTAAGCAGAGAAAACTCAAGATTGGTGTGTCTTTTCCTAGAAGATTTTAGCAAGATCTTTGGAGAAGTGTGATGACAGCAGCCAGAAATCTGAGCATAGACAGTTTATTACTCAGGTTTTGGGCTTCCTCTGATATCACTATGACAACCCAAGATTTTGCCAAGCGTTCTGTACACAAAAAGTCAACAACATATTATTTACATAAAAATGACAGAAAAGTTTTAAATTAAAAAAAATCATTAAACCAATCTTTGTACAAAGGAATAAAGAGCACTAAATGTTGTACTCAGACAAGGAATTCAGCTTTACCTACTGGAAACAAGACACACTTTACCAGAATGGTCTTAACCACTATGAATAATTTCAAATAAAATAGACCTTTAAGTTAAAGAAAAAAGAAATAAAAAGCACACTTAAAGCTACAGAAATGTGTAACAGCAATTTTTTAAAAGCAGCCTTAACCAATGGAGGAATATATTTTTAAAAAATGCAAAACTGACATCTTACAATCAGTAGCCTAAAACTTGAACTAAAGATCAAAATGGCCCACATAATCAATTATGAAAAAATCACAGAAAAACAAACTCTTGGTGTGATCTCTGGGGAACCATGTGAGGGAAAGACTCTGGTTCTTCCTTCTCCACAGGCGTCAGGGGAGCCAAGTGGGGGCCAGGTTTCTTTACTCCCCCCATCAGGTCAGATTCTCTGGGGAGCTGTGTGGGGGGTGTCTCTCCGCTGTTCCTCCCCATGTGGTCAGATTATGTGGGAGAGAGGTCTGTCTGCACCCCATCATCTCTGGAAAGCCAAGGTTATGGAGCAAGAAGATTTTTTTTTCTCACCCATCTCTCACTAATTTCTCACCATTACCTAATTTACTTCTTTTTTCTGGTGGGGAAGGGATAGTGCTTCAGGTTTCCTCAATTGCTCCCAGAAGGTGACATCCACAGAGCTGAAGGAACAAGCTCCACAGACCCAGTGCTCCAGGACTCAGGGCTTCAGGACCCACAGGAAGCATGCTGGGACTTGGGGCTTCATCCCTGAGGGAGGTGTGCTGGGACTGAAGCAACCCCCTATGTGCCCCATGATCTGCTGAAAAGCTTCTGGTGATACATATTTGGACCATGAGCCACCTATTGATTACTCTTGATGTAAAGCTTTGTATTTCATGTCTAAAGAATGATTAAGGATGTGAAGCTATGTGTTAAATACAGGAAGTCCCCGGGTTACGTACAAGATAGGGACTGTAGGTTTGTTCTTAAGTTGAATCTGTATGTAAGTCAGAACTGGCATCCAGATTCAGCCGCTGCTGAAACTGATCAGCGGCTGATTCCAGGAAGCCCAGGGCAGGGGCTTCCTGTAGTCAGCCACTGGTCAGTTTCAGCAGCGGCTGACTTGGGGATGCCTGGGGCAGAGCAGCTTGGGTGCTGCTGGGTTGGTCCAGTAGCACCGCCGCTCCTCGGCGCTACTGGACCAACCCAGCAGCATCCCAGCTGCTCTGCCCCAGGCATCCCCAAGTCAGCCGCTGCTGAAACTGATCAGCGGCTGATTCCAGGAAGCCCAGGGCAGGGGCTTCCTGTAGTCAGCCACTGGTCAGTTTCAGCAGCGGCTGACTTGGGGATGCCTGGGGCAGAGCAGCTTGGGTGCTGCTGGGTTGGTCCAGTAGCACCGCCGCTCCTCGGCGCTACTGGACCAACCCAGCAGCATCCCAGCTGCTCTGCCCCAGGCATCCCCAAGTCAGCCGCTGCTGAAACTGATCAGCGGCTGATTCCAGGAAGCCCAGGGCAGGGGCTTCCTGTAGTCAGCCACTGGTCAGTTTCAGCAGCGGCTGACTTGGGGATGCCTGGGGCAGAGCAGCTTGGGTGCTGCTGGGTTGGTCCAGTAGCACCGCCGCTCCTCGGCGCTACTGGACCAACCCAGCAGCATCCCAGCTGCTCTGCCCCAGGCATCCCCAAGTCAGCCGCTGCTGAAACTGATCAGCGGCTGATTCCAGGAAGCCCAGGGCAGGGGCTTCCTGTAGTCAGCCACTGGTCAGTTTCAGCAGCGGCTGACTTGGGGATGCCTGGGGTTCTTAAGTTGAATCTGTATGTAAGTCAGAACTGGCATCCAGATTCAACTTAAGAACAAACCTACAGTCCCTATCTTGTACGTAACCCGGGGACTGCCTGTATATGAATATTTTGAGAAACTATGCTGTATGCTAAATTATAAGCATCCAAAGATGATTTGGTTGTCTCTATGCATATTTGCCCCCAATACCACAATGTAAGGGAACACATTTTATCAGTGAAAACTCTTTTTAAAAAAGCATTATGGGAACTAGACTAGGAAAATCACTATTATCCATCATGCTGGGTCAACAAGCCCTTACCTCCAGACAGTAAACTTAAGCATCTTTCACTCTGCCAGTCAAGCAATCAACAGCACTTAATCCTGGGCACAGGGACTGGCCATTATAATTGATCAGAATGAAAATATAACCTATCTTCAAGCTCAATGAATGCCACAAAATAAAGAATTCTGAGTTAGTTTTTGATTCCCAGGTTCTGTTCTTCAGAA